CAACCGGAGGGGCGTGGAGTCCGCATGACATTCTGGTGTGTTTGGGCATTTCGCGCTTATTGCGGGGTTCCTGACTGCCTTATTGCAGGTTTGATGACCGAAAACTCTTATTCTTCCCTCGATGGACATCTGCTGCGCATTTTGCGGTGAAAGCCTGCGCAACTGCACACAAAATCCGCTTGAGACACTTTCCCTGTAACTGGGACTTCAGGGGAATGGAACGGCCTTGGACGGAGATTTTGGAGAGCCGAGTATGATGGTAGCAATGCGCTTCATTCATCATGCGGTGCGTGGACTCTCCTCGCGTGTGCTTGTGGACTTACGAATATATTTCCGTTCAGGTCCCCAGCTCCTCCCTCATACTCCCTCCCTCCTGCTACCCCACCGGCTGAAATCACTCTATATATTCAATATTTAGAGCTCACGATGCTCAGGTTCATAAGTCTCTGCGCCATTCACATTCATACACCCGCAAGATTCCTCAAATCTCAACCTTACTTCAACATCACTGCAATGTACGCGCCGGAGATCGACCATGTCTCCCCGGTTTCCACTTCCAAATCCCTTCCCACACCCACACCGTTCCCCTCGCGACTATCTGAGCACCTGGCCCTATGTTCAGGGCCAGAACTGTCGCAGCATCTTCGCACCCTCGTTTTACAGGCCCGCGCCGCGCACTCAGTCAGCGGATCGTTCCCGAATCCGTGCCTGGTAACGATCTCGGGCGCTCTAGATCTCACCAGACGTATATCTTCTGGAGGAATCTCTCCACTTCAACCACTCGGCCGCTTTTTGCCCGCTTTCCCGCTTTCCCCTACCCTCTGTGTTTTGTCTTGACGGCCTCTCTCGCCAAACTTTTCCCCCGATCCATGATTCTCTCGTCCTGTTCGCCTCAGGGCTGATCTCTTCCCTTCTCCTTTCACTGGGTATGACTCTGGGAACGGCGCGCTCAAGACTGCACTTACCTTGCACATCGGGCTTCTCGGGGATGCCGCCACCCGTTCTTATCTTAGGCTATTTTCCGCCTCTCTCGCAATCTTGGCCTCGCATATCGATCCCTCAACATTCTGGCTATTCGGAAACGGGCCACGGCACGCTGAAGACTGCCAATGAATTTCGCCTCGGGCTTCTCGGGAATACCGCAACTTTCGTATTTTGGGCCTGTATCTTGTCCCTCAAGGCATCTCTCGTCGTCTTGACCCGTCTCTCAATTCCCCAACATTTCGCCGCTATTAGCAGTCTGATTTGCCGCTGACCGCTGTGAACCCGTTCCGATACTAATCAGCCCCCGAGTTCGCATTAGACCTTGATTTGTTTCCTTGTGAGTTGCTTTACGTACCTCTCTGTTGTTCAAAGCCAGCGCTTTACACTTCTGGATCATCTACTTTCACTTTCAGTTACAGAACTCCACGCCCAGGTTCATTTCGATGTGGGGCTAAATTTTCAACTTTTCTTTGTCGCGTAATTCCTATGTTGATCAGGGTATAGGAGTCTCGTTACGCTTTACTTTATCCTTACTGACCTCGTATGAGCCGCAGATCCCCAGAACATGCCACTCGGGTCGCTGGTTCAAGTTGGTCTGACGGTCGGTATTTACCGCATGAACAGCCTCGATTCACCCAAAGTTTTCATACAATCTTCCCGTTACTTCCCGAGTCGCTGACTTGTTCCCACTCCTCCCAGACTAACGCTCTACTACTCACTTCAACAGCGTATCTGGGCTGGTTCGCAATGCCGCCGACCCATTGCTGATTCCGCTGCGACGTAAGTTCCATCTTTGCTCAACACTTGCCACGTTCTTTACTGATTTCGTTTTGTATGGTGAAGCGATGCGCAGTCAAATTGGTCTGTATGGGTACCAGCACGTACAGACTGCGAGCGCGTGGCACAACGGGATTCCAGCGGTTTCGGGCATCTCGGCCCACCGTCTGCAGCACCCGATCCCGCCGGCGGACACCGTACAGCTAACGTCGAGGCTCCCACGCATTTCCAGATTCGAAGCTTGAAGCTCGGGCAGCGCCGCTCCAGACTGGGGTGTACCTGTCCGCCTGTGCTCGAGATTGATTCGTGGAATCATGGGTTTGCCGTACAAAGGCCAAATTCGGGGTGAGTCTTCATTCCCAGTTCGAGCTGACTCTCGCGACGCTGACTTGTCCGGATCTCTCTAACCACAGACCACGGCGGGAGTTTCATGAACTACCAACTACCCTCGTAGATTATCTGTCAAAGTAGGTCTTCCATGGCGCGGAATTTGCGAATCAATGTAAGTTTCAGCTTTGTGGAAAGTAAACAAGACTTACTTTGACTCATCTCGTTGTGCAGAACGACTCGATGCGCTGCTGTGTTAGGCTGTGATACCCACACATATGTGTACTGACTATTCAGATGGGTTGCACGACGCGTTGCGGCCATCTCGGGCGCGGGTTTGCAGTATGTTTTGCAAAACTCCATCTCCCACTTGCTGACCACCTCTGTAGAAGCCCGGACGACGCTCTCAATACTGGAGCTTTGCGATCCGTACACCGGCCACGGTTGGTGCATCCCCTTTCACGAGGCAAGTCTTGCGCGTTCGCGGATTTGAAGGTCGGTAATTTTGGGCCGTGAATCAGATAGATTTCAACGGCCAAGTTCAAACTCGTTCGATAGCTGCAGAGATACGATGGTACGTTTCGAACCAATGCTGTCTTCTTTGTGTTTTTGATCTATGATTGCTCACAGTACACGCGCATTTTCCAAGTCTTCGTCCCGTACCTGCGCGCTAACTCGCATTTCGTAGTGTCTCCACGCCGTGCCTTCACTTGCTGATTCCGAGTCCAATCTGCCCTCACCGAATGTATTCAAGGTAAGTAAGTACACGATTAGTATCTACTTGCTGACTGGACGTAGTTATCCACGTGCTTAGACTCAGGTGGGCGTCGGCGCATCTGCGATGCGCGGACGAGACCGCGCAAAAGGCAGGCGGGGTGGATGGGAAGGCGTAGGCAGCCAACGCCCGCCACTTCCCCGCCGCGGGAGACGGTGCGGCACGGCACGGACTCATTCATGGCCGCACGAGGAGTACGATGGCGGTGATTGCGCGGACGCGCAGAGGGCTCGCGGTGCTGCGGTATGATGCGCGCGACGTGCGTTGCAGGGCGGGGCTGAGGAGCATCCCGGTGGCGGCGTGAGCGCGACGACGGCTGGATGGGGGCGGGTGCGGACCTGGTGCGCGAGCGTGTTTAGCGTGCAAGTAGTGTGTAAAGGAGTACGCTGGCGAGGTGGGCGGGGTGTATGGGCGACGGGTACGTAGCGTGTGCGACGAGCACGACGCATGACGAGCGTGGTTCAGCACCATGCACCACCCGTGCGGCAGAACGGGTAGCCACGTCCGCACGGGAGTGAGTGAAGCATGTGCTGCGGCACTGCTCCGCTTCCTCGTCTCCTCTCTCTTCCTTCCCTTCAGAGCGACGCGCGGGCTGCCTGGAATCGTGTAGCGGCGCTGGCGACGCGGAGGGCGGGGCGGGCGGCGACGAGGGAGTACATGGTCGTGGTGGGCGGAAGGAAGTAGTGAGAGCTGTGACTGTGACGAACGGACATCCCGATCGTATCGCAGGGTGACGATGAGGTCATTGCCTGGTCATTTTACAGGCGACACATGTGACCGTGTTCTTGGCGAGTGCCGCGACGCGTCGCGTCAGCTGTGAGACTTACGGGGGATGATTTTGAGGAACCTTGGAGAGAGGACCAAAAAGCAGCCTTTTCGTGAACATGACCCCGGCTCGGTTCGATCGAACGAGCAACTCCGGCGCCAGCCGCAGATGTCAGAACGGCTGTGGAGAATGAATGCAGGTGCGCACTGGGGACTGACACAAGGACGCCCCGTTCTGCTGTTTTCATTACTAGTTATGTTCAGCTGATGTCATTTTTTCTATATCTATATGACAAAGGTACCAATACCAAACTTCTCTTGCACGTTGAATCCAATGCTGATTCGGTATCTTCAGGCTAAAAAGTTTGAGGCCCAGGAGGCGATAGTGATACGAGTACTCGTCCAATCGGAAAAAAGAAAGCCATGGAGACTTATGGCCCAGGCTCGAGTCGAACGAGCAAATCCTGCATAGAAAGTCGATTATATAAGCACGAGGTATGGAGGGCAGATGCGGACCCTCCGCAACTAGGCCTTGTTCTCTTACCTTCGGCACTGAAACAACTCCCTTCAGCAGAAAAACGATTTGCTCTAGTCCTGGACACATCGTTGTACGGAGCGTTGTCTCATCGGTCGGATGCAGGGGCAGCCGAACATTTTGCTCCACTGCGATGGGAAAAAAGCGAGTGCGGTCCATGCGCTTCTGAGTCTTCAATTATTCCCCTGCCTACGAACCTCGCGAGATGGGCCCGCAGAAGCAGAATACACTCCGCGTCGAAAGAAAATTGTGTTTCACCCAAGATTGCCTACTCAGTCGGTGTCTTTCTCGAAAGAAATGCAACATACCATGGGTAGAGACCGGGACAAGAATGTACGTTCGCACAAAAAGTCATTGTGCGCTTCACCTATGGCCCAGACTCGAATCGAACGAGCGAGCCTGCAATAACGCGTCCAAAAAATCTCTCACTCGCTTCCTTGAGCCCTCTTGGTTCCTGATTCGCACTCGGCTTTTCTCGTGTACCCCTGAATAAATCCCCCCACCATGAGAAGCAACTCAAAAAGTAGGAAAGCTTTGTCGCATTGCCTAGGCTGGAATTGAACGAGCGCCTCCCACACGTATCCTCGAGGACCAATAGGCTGTCTGGGTGCGGACTATCCGCGATCAGGGCTTAACTGGTTCTGGCGGTTCTGGGACAAGGATCCGGGCCGTTTGCGTGTGTACTATGCGTAGAGAGGCTGGATGCGCGAGAAAGCCAGGCAAAGCTCGGGAATCCGGGCCTTATCCGCCTCGTTCTGCTCATTCAGACAAGTCCACGAGAATCAATACTCCACTCTTGTCCGAACCCGCTCAAAAAAATACGATCCAGTCCAATTACGACCCAGCCTCGATTCGAACGAGCGCTCCTGCATCAAGTCACATCACTATCACAGCACTATCAGATGCAAGCGCGGACCATCCGCCACCGGGTCTTGTTACATCGATATCAAACACGGTCGTTCTGGGGAAATTCTTACCTGCGGAGGAGGCGGCTGAAGTGAAGCGAGAAGTTCAACATGCACGGACCGAATATATTATGTAGAATGTAAATAATTCTTTACGCCCGCCCCCAGGATGCCAGGGATGGTAGAGATCTGATCGAACTGCGCGTGAGCAGCTCGAGCAGTAACATAATCACGAAGGAAATACAGTATTCATCCTGTGAAGAGATTGATACCTTGGAAACCAGCGACCCCTCATCATACTCCCAATCACGATCGTAAATATACCCAGATGTGAAACGCCCAGCTGTCTCTCCCAGCTCGAAACCCAAGCACGAAGATTTGACCCCGCGCAAGGCCGCGAATCTCTCCAGCTCGGCTGGCGAGAACGCTCGATCCGAAAGCGTGATGTCGAGGGTGGTGAGCGAGGAAAACTCGTTCTGGGCTCCCGTTCGTCTTTCAAGCATCACCAACAACGCATCGGTGCTGAAGAGGTAGCTCCCCGTCAAGACGAAGGTGCACAGCTGGGGAAGTAGAACGGGTTCCCCGGGGGCGGGAGTGAGCGCTTGTAGGAGGGTATTGGTGGCAGTGTTGGGGATGTTGTCGGTCAGTACAAGCGTCTCCAGGGTCGGAATCGCAGACAAGAGGGTAAGCAGGTCCCGCGCACGGATACGAGTGTCCTGCAGTACCAGTGCTTCCAGGCGACATCCGGAGGACTGAATGAGTGGGCTGATGTCGGGCAAATCCCACGCGCCGCACTTCACGAGGAACAGTTCCTTCAATCGAGGGGTATCTGTGTCCCCAAGAATCTTCGCTAGAAAGCCTTGCGCCGCGTGCCCAGCTAGAACGACCTTCTGCACGCCAAGAGTCAGTCGAACGGAGGATGAACTCCAACGGTCGGGGGAGCCACCGGTGCGGAGAATAATCTCCTGGAGCTCGCTTGCCACAGTGAAAATAGACAGAGGGGTGTAAGAGCCGGGGTGGATGGATGCGTGGGTCAACTGGGTCCATGGAAGGGGAGGCAAGTTCGCGGGGTGCGCTTCTTGGCGTAGACCCAGGGTCCGCAATCGGGGAGTGTTTGCAAACACGACGCACTCCCACGAGTGCTGGTCCGGACCGTCCAAGAACACGATCGTTTGGAGCCCGAGAAGTCGATTCAGCGCCGGGGCTAAGAAGGAAAGGAATTCCGACGATGAAGGGAGTGCAACATGATGCCACCGCTCCGCATGGCCGACAAGCTCCCCTACATTTTCCTCCACAGCCTTCATATGCCTCGGCTGATCTGCTGGATCGACTTTACGAATCGGCCTCCAGTGGAAGCACACCGTAAGGGGGGCAGTTTTCGACCGCTCAAGGCGGAGGCGTGTCCACTCGAGAGAGGAGTAGCGGCCATGCCCCAGGGTGACTTGGAACGAGGACCACAGTTGCGGTATCCCGAGCGCGACATCTCGCCACTGGTGGTGGCAGACGGCGGTGACGCCCTCTGTATCAAACTCTGTTACGACTTGAGCGCCCATTTGCTCCAAATCGTGCATGTCGGGATGCAGAAAGATCATTTGCAGGATATCGACAGGCAGCAGACGGATGGGTGCGAGCAGGGACGAGTAATCCGCTAGGTATCGGCGCAAAGCGATCTGGGTATCGTGATCGTCTAGAGTAGGCTGGCGGGCTTGCATGTCTGCTAGGAGGGCTCTAGCCTTGGTCACGGAGGCGGCTATGGTCGTTCGCTCTTCGCCCAAAGCCGAAACATTGTATCGGAGACGATCGCACAACTGGGGTTGCGAAATGTGGAGCAGCTCGTCCATTGCTAAATCAAAAGGAGAATGAGGACCGTGACAAGTTGTCGAAGTGCAGAACATACCGGTATTTTTGGTCTCGAAGGTCGTCGTCAGAAGAGAGAGTCCGTTATCGACTCATGAATATTGCGCCCGAATACTCCCCGGAGACACAGGCAAAAATTCCTTGTGCTCTGGCTGCGCTGCACAACTACATTCGACTCCTCGATCCCGATGACTATTCGGATGACGGTCCTGGACACGGTGGTCCAAGAAACAGCACATTCACCCTTCGCGAAGTTGACGGAGACGAACGGCGTTTTGAGGAACCCTGGAGAAAAAAGCAGCCTTTTCGTTAACATGACCCCGGCTCGGTTCGATCGAGCGAGCAACTCCGGCGCCAGCTGCCGATGTCAGGACGGCTGTGGACTCCGACTCCGAAGAATGAGTGCAGGTGCGCACTGGGGACTGACACAAGCACGCCCCGTTCTCCTGTTTTCATTACTACTTCTGATGACATTTCTTCTACATCTATATGACAAAGGTACCAATACCAAATGCTCTTGCGCGTTGAATCCAATGCTGATTCGGTATCTTCAGGCTAAAAAGTTTGAGGCCCAGGAGGCGATAGTGATACGAGTACTCGTCCAATCGGAAAAAAGAAATGCGTGGAGACTTATGGCCCTGGCTCGAGTCGAACGAGCAAATCCTGCCTAGAATGTCGGTCTATGCGGTGTGGAGGGCAGATGCGGACCATCCGCGACTAGGCCTTGTTCTCTTACCTTCGGCACTGAAACAACTCCCTTCAGCAGAAAAACGATTCTCGCTAGCCCTGGACACCTCGTTATATGGAGCGCCATTTAATCGGTCGGATGCAGGTGCAACCGACCTTTTGCTCCACTGCGACGGGAAAAAAGCGAGTCTTTTGTTAACTCGCGTGTATGGTCGGGAAAAAAAGTGAGTGTCATTTTGGAGTATTGAGTGCAGGTGCGCTTCTGGGTCTGGACTCTGGGGCCTGCGAACCTCGCGAGATGGGCCCGCAGAAGCAGAATGGACTCCACGTCGAGAGAACTGTATCTCCGAGTCAACAAGATTTCCCACTCAGTGAGTGCTTCCTCGAAAGAAATGCAACATACCAGAGTTAGAGACCGGACAAGAATCTACGTTCGCACAAAAAGTCATTGTGCGCTTCACCTATGGCCCAGACTCGAATCGAACGAGCGAGCCTGCAATAACGCGTCCAAAAAATCTCTCACTCGCTTCCTTGAGCCCTCTTGGTTCCTGATTCGCACTCGGCTTTTCTCGTGTACCCCTGAATAAATCCCCCCACCATGAGAAGCAACTCAAAAAGTAGGAAAGCTTTGTCGCATTGCCTAGGCTGGAATTGAACGAGCGCCTCCCACACGTATCCTCGAGGACCAATAGGCTGTCTGGGTGCGGACTATCCGCGATCAGGGCTTAACTGGTTCTGGCGGTTCTGGGACAAGGATCCGGGCCGTTTGCGTGTGTACTATGCGTAGAGAGGCTGGATGCGCGAGAAAGCCAGGCAAAGCTCGGGAATCCGGGCCTTATCCGCCTCGTTCTGCTCATTCAGACAAGTCCACGAGAATCAATACTCCACTCTTGTCCGAACCCGCTCAAAAAAATACGATCCAGTCCAATTACGACCCAGCCTCGATTCGAACGAGCGCTCCTGCATCAAGTCACATCACTATCACAGCACTATCAGATGCAAGCGCGGACCATCCGCCACCGGGTCTTGTTACTTTGGCTTTGAGGGCCATTGCTGGCGCATGGCAGTACTCGTCGGCCTTCGGCCATTTTATTAAGATATGCCCAACAACTACTGATGTCATACTTCATTTTTGTACATGAAGAAAACGCACTAGGGTAGGCTAAGAGCGTTAAGAAACGTCTCGTTCACATTGTATAATAAACCCGTTCGGCCGATTTTTTAATGCGGCTGTGAGACTCGTTAATCAACTCACAACCTGCACCGAACCGTTTGTCCTCCATGATCGCGCGACGCTCCCTCACGTCTATCTCCCATCCAACTTGTATTCGAACCAGATGAGGGAGGACCAACAGCTTGCTCCGTAGTGCCTCAACTATTGCCGATCTACAAACAACATCGCAGCCAGAAACATCCACGTATTTGGCCGCTATGAACGACAACAAGAGGGCAGACATTAAGTCTGCGGACAGCAGGGTTGAAACACAAAGGACAAGCGAACGTGTTTGCATCATCCGCGGTCGAAACACAGCAATCAATGTTTCCACGCTCGCTGCATCGCTAACAACGATACGCAGGTGACACAACGCTGGCGTTGAGAGGTGGCGCAAGAGGGACACCATAGAAGGCGTGTAGCATGATATGGAAAGATGAGTGAGATGCTTGAAGACAATCGGGTTGGAATTACGGGGATATGTGGTGCAAAGTACACCACCCAGTTTGAGATACCGAATATTGGTGAAGGCAGACATCGCGTGAGCGATCGAATCCCACCGCGTCTCGCACGACACGATTAGAATGAGACGTAGATCCACCACGGTTCTGCCCGTGAAAAGTAGAGTCGCCGGCGGTAAGCATTTGGACGTGTACAACCCTTTGAGCGCTGGGAGGGTGGATGTGAACGGTGGGCGTTGCTGTACAACTGCCGGGTCCAAGGACAAGTTGAGCCCAAGATAAAGCTCTTGGAGGCGTCCGCAGTCCATCGAGGACAGACGCGTTATTGCTACCTCCGACACAGATGTGTTGGGGCAGATTATTCTGAAGACCGTGATCCGATGGAAATAGGGAGCGAGGACCGTAAAGCAATTGTCGATGAATACTGCCATCCTCGCCACACCTTTGAGTGTAGTAAGGGGGTTGTCGCGGATCTCCACGGACACGTCCTTGTCGGCGGATTTGGAGGCCTGCAACCACGTGCATAGGGTATAAGCGGTAGGTGCGGCGTCGAAGACGATGGAGTAGGTTCTCCACGCCTGAGGAGAGGAGTACAGAATGTTCGACCATTGTCTAGAGACAAGGCACAATGTACGTCTGCGCCTGGCGCTTTTATCGGCGTTGAGTATGCCTCGCAAGGTGGCAAGCAGAAGGATTCGAGACAGTAACTCAGTTGGAAGTCCAAGTAGCAGAACCCACAGTCGGGTGGGCTCGTTGACCATCATGGGAGTCGGTACGAAGTGGAGCATGGCGGGACTCAGCACCCCAAG